CAAAAGAAAACTCTACCCTATATTTGATTGAAATGAGTAAATTATTCCCTAGGGGCAAAACTTTTCTCTTACCCAACCCATCTAATAATTATATGTAAAATTTATGTGTAAATAAATTTTTATTTTTTTAATTATTATTTATATAAATTATTAAAATTTTATCTTAAATTCATATACAAAAAGTCAAAAGAAAACTCTACCCTATATTTGATTGAAATGAGTAAATTATTCCCTAGGGGCAAAACTTTTCTCTTACCCAACCCATCTAATAATTATACGGTTAAATACCATTTTGATCCCTCGATTTTTTATTTTAATATTAAAATTATTTTTTAATTTTGAAAAGTATTAAAATTATTTTTAAATTTTTAGTTTTGATATAATTATGTAGAAATTACATAAAAAAGTAGAAAAAAAAATATCCGAATGATATTAAAAAAAAGACATAATTGATTTTTTTTTATGAGTGTATATTTTTATTTAATTTAAAAATAATAAAATCCTTTTTTTATCCACGTCAGCCAAAAAAAAAAAAACATCTGTTCTTCCTCTTTCACTTTCTCTTTCCTTTACCTTTCCTTTTCCCTCACCTCTGCAAACCCTAAAACTTGAAGCTTAGCAACTCTATCAACCTTTCTTCTTCCTTTCTCTGCTCATCCTTCTTCTTTCTTCTTCTATTCTTTCTCTCTCTCTCTTCTCCCTTTTTCTTCCTCTCAAATTCTGCGTTTTTTTTCATCATCTGCAATGGCTTTCGGCAGTAACAAGGATGATTCTTCCTACCTTTATGCCATGTTTCTTGACCTCAAAGAACGGATATTAGAGATGGGACAAAAGATTGAGAAATTTGTGCAAGCACCATTCAACAACAACATCGGTGAAGTACATCTGAACGTTGGAACTGTGTTGTAGAATACGGAATTTGAAGATTTGAACACGAGGCTTCAAGAATTTGCGAAGCAGTTCTGCCCATCCGGCCTTCAGAATCTTGGTCCTTTGGTGCTGGAAATTGAGATTAGAAGGTTGTTAAGCGAATTGGGGAAAGATAATCAGGAAGCCTTTCTTCGAGGGATTCAACATTATAAGAAGGAACTGAAAGAACTTGATGTGAAGGCTTCTTCTGATTTCATGGAATTAGATGATTTTCTCAAACCCAGAACTGGGTTTTTTTCTCAAACCCAGACCTGGCGATGAAGAAGGAGACACGAGCTCCAGTACAAGATTCAAAGTTTGCAGAGCAGAATCTGAGCAGAGTAGAGATCGATTTTTTTTTTTTTTTCTACTTTGGATGGAAAAATCTTTAATTATGGAATTGATAAACAAGAAGTTACAAAATCTAAGGAAGGAAAATTGAAGTTTTCAATATAAAA